ACAGATTGAATAATAAATAGCACCATAATGATATGTCGCCGAACTTGGTGTGACTACATTACAAGAAGGTGTGATAAAAATTCGGTAAACACTTAAGAGTAGACAACATGGAATTGGTTGCTTTTCAGAGACTAATCAATGTAAATAGTAGTAATTGTAACGACCAAAATCCAAGCATTTCAATCTGAACGTAGGAAACCACTTAACGAAACCAAGCTCACATGATCTAGACAAGTTACTGAGTTCTACTCCATAGTTTCTCAAACTTCCTTCAGTCACGCATAGTCAAAGATAATGCTTCTCCAATTCGATATAGATCTCCTATGGACAGGAAAATGCTATATTTTTTTAGCATTTATAAGTCCATTTTTATCCAACGTAGAGTTTTTGTTCTTAGTTTGAGAAACAGTTTAAAAACACTTTGAAAATGTTCAAAAGTGCGTGATATGTTCTCAGTAGACATATTTAATAGATTAAAACAAACTGAGAGGGAAGAAATTGATGAAAAATATATATTCGGTGAAAAACTTCTGGTAGCCGAAGGTTTAAGCAGGCTGTCGTACAAGTGTTCACAAATATAACAATCGAAGTATTAACTTTATATTTTTTTCCAGGTAATCCTTGTAATAATTAAATGCAGACTTTGGTATTTTGCCAGAGTGAAGACAATACTTTCCATTCTTCATAGTGTCAATTCGTGCATATTTATCTTGCTGACATTGTAAGGACCAAAATCCAAATATTTCAGTCTGAATGTAGGAAACTACATAACGAAACCAAGCTAACATGATCTAGACAAGTTACTGAGTTCTACTCTATAGTTTCTCAAACTTCCTTGAGTCACGCACAGTCAGAGATTATGTTTCAACTGTGACAAAACACAATTTGATGTGATAAATCTGTAATACTGTTAAACAACCAGTTATATCAAAATCACACAAGTACCTCAACAATGCCACTGGGCAACTATACAGTCCAAACATTTCTTTGGCATGAAATATATACTATGCAGCGAAAAAATTTATTCACCAAAATATCTGAGAATCAATGAGAATATTCCCGACAAAAGGGGTTCAAAACTCTGTCTAGAAGAATCAAATCAATCAATAGACGTCCCCAGTAGACAGTCAAAGACAAGGAGTCAATTCACAGCGCAAACACTAAGTTAAGCTGAAGCAGAATGTCCAGAACAGTAAAACAACACTATGTTGTCAACAGTCCAGTATCACACAATAGCAAAATGAAGCATTCATGATAAGTCTCAATCAAAACAACGACAAATAATGAGTGCTATGTCAAATACGACGAGCAAATGACAAAATAATCTGACATCGGTTAGGGGTAAAGGCATAATCAAGGTGAAAATATTCAAATAAGTATCAGGAGGGTTTTTCAAATCATTTATTCCGTTACAGTAACCACTCGATCGTTTACCAGTTAGAGGATTGCAGTCCACCTTTCTGGCAGTAAAATTCAATTAGGGCTAAAATAAATAAATTAAATTAACTAAATAAACATCTGGATGCTTAGGGTGGTTTCAAGTTTTGTTTTAACGAGGATGAATCCAAGCAGGCTTCAATGCCATTTTGCGCTGGTTAATATGCACATCCTCAAAGTCCCTAGCTCAGCCATATTAGTTGGATAGACTTTACCCTCTAATAATCCCTATCACATTTATTCTAATAAAATAAATTACTGCTTTGAATATATCCCTGAATAGCAGTCATTTTGATTTGTGTTTCATTATCAGTACTTACACGCTAGGTAGGGTACTGATTAAGCAGGTACTAGAGCACATCAAGTTAGTCTTGGTCAAGCGTTAGGTAATAGTAACACGACCAGTCTCCCGACAGAATTATTGAAAACAAGGAGAGCCAGTTCAAGAGTCTTCAGCAATGCACATCTATGAGTCCAAACAAACTATCCAGTATACAACCTCTGAGTTTCACTTTTAACTTTCAGATAAATTACTTGAAGTTCTGATACGAAACAGTCAATCAAGCCAGGAATTAGAATGAATGTTTATAAAGATGGATGATAGCATTAATGTATAACGGATTAATCATAGGAGGATATTTCACACCATGAGATTTCAACTTAGTAACTAGATAACAGTGCTAACCGCATTCTTTTTCATCAAGGATAACTTTAAATCTGAAACTAACACGAAATAGCCATCTAGAGATTGGTGATTTACAGTGGTTTTCCCAATCGTTGTTAATTCACCATTTCAAGTATGTTTATAGATTAACCCAATCTGGCACTGACTTTTCCCATCATCAAAGTATGATGGCAACTGAATTTCCTATTAGCGAACAATGAATATTCGTTAAAGTTTGAGGGTCAGATATGATAGGTCTTAAGAAATCAATAAACTGAATAAGGCTTTTCTATGTACATATCTAAAACACAAATGAAACAATTTCACGTTTATATCATACTAACGTTAACGCTTATTTTAAAAAATGTTATGAATTGATATTACTTTCAAATAAAAACAATTTTTTTCACTAATTAAAGTGAATTACACACAGTCCGTGAATTATGCGTTTTGCCTCTATGCTAACAACTGAAATAAAGTCAAAGGATACAATAGCATAACTTTATCCCAGTTCATGCTAAAGATTCCATCTACTATGGTCACAATGTCCACAACACGTATTAGAGGTAGTATTCACCATGGACTGACATCAGTTGGGGGAACCATTGGAAATCTAGGAGCACTGGACAGCTGTTTTGTCCTAGTATAGAACTCTTTAGCAGTACGCACCCACGACCCGGCTAGGGATTGAACTCAGGACCTTCAGGTTTCACGGCGAATGCGTTAACTATTCAGCCACTGGGTCGGTTTCCAGTGGTTCACAATTTCCAACATCTGTCAATTCACGATATAGCGCGACTATCACGAAACACCTGACCAGTGGTCCCAGATTTTCAATGGTTCCCATAACTGATGTCATCCCATGATGAATACTACCTCTAAATTAAAAATCCCCATTCATCTCAAAAAAACAGATTAATTGTTTGCCAATCCGTTTGATAACAACCAATGCCCTCATATGTATGCACAACACGACCACAAATCAAAAATACACATTTTGTTCAGGTAGGCTAGAAGATTGAGTGACCAACTGTCACTTCCGAATATTAAAAACAATACTAATTAGAGTGATACAGCTGTCCAATATCTCCTGAATTTAGATGGTTCCCTACCTGATGTCAAACCAACAACAACTGACACATTGGTAGCCGATTATTACAACAGATTTAACCGCATTTTTACTTCCTCAGGTTTTTCTCACAAAGAATCAGTTTCTTAGAGTACGTAGTCTAAAGTTTAAAACACATACCTAGTGGAATAATCGAAATAGAAATATCATGATAGTACGCAGCCAGAATATACTGTATATAGACTTTTTAAAAAGAAATGTTCTTTTCTTCTAGCAAAAATTTCCCATTCGTAAGGATTCTTGCCGAAATGAAATACACCATTGAAGTACACCTACGCTTCAAGCATCAGTCATACCATGAACACAACTTTGTAAAGTTACGTAGCATATTCACCAAGTCGAAGAGCCTATCACTTAAATAGGTCGGATTTTTACGTACTACTACAATCAAAAAGGCTTGTTTGCAAGTCGAAAAGACATAAGCAATCGAAGACACAAATTCAGCTAATTCCAACTACTTTTCTTAAAAATGGAATCAGATATATCAAGAGGATGCAAAATTACGAGCGATTTTAAAGGCCACCCTAGCAACTGATGAAACCACCAATCACGTCTCCCTATGAAAAATTGTCTCTCGAGCCAAAATATCGCAACCTAATTGTTATTTTGGCAGTTGCTAGAGTGGCTTTTAAAATCGCCCCAAAATTATTTAGGGGTACAGAGATGATTAGAAAACGTGTCTTAAAAAATAGGTGAGTAGTTGTTTCAATGATGCCTCCATCATGATCACTACTGACAAAGTCGAAATGCAGAGTGCAGAACTAAAACTATATCAGTGCAACAGAATTTTCATTCTACTTTGTGCTCATAGGTATCAGTAAGACTATGACAGTAATACGGGAAAAACTTCACGCGTGACTAAGACATCTGAGATACAGGTTTGAGTCGATGTTCCGTTCAAAGTGGGTGAAATGAGTAACTTTGGGCATAATTTTAATTTTTCAAGTTGGTGTTCATCACGAACTGACACCAGTTGGAGGAACACTGGACAGCTGTTTCGTCCTGGTATGGGACTCCTCAGCTGTGTGCATCCCGGGGATCGAACCCAGGACCTTCAGTTCCCATGGCCAGTACGTTAGCATTGAGCCGCTATACCTGCATATTTCCAATTTCTGCTAGCTCATCACATAGTGCGACCATCACCGATTGTCATCGTTGAGTATTTGTCCTCACATTCACCGGGTTCGCCCTACCAATCAATTCTCATTAGTGGTCCCAAACAACCTCCAAAGTAATTTTAATTAGGAGTGCCACACTAAGCTTACATAGCAACATGTTTTACGATAACCTAGAGATTCAGCGTTTTCCAGGCTTTGAATTAAAATCAATATTGTACAACAATATATCTAATTCAGTATAAGCATTTGAATTGAATTAAAAATGGATAAATATGTGTATAGACCCTGAAAATGATTTTAATAATCAAGAGGATCCCGTTCCTAGTGTACACAAGAAATAATACTTGGACACAATGAAATTCTGTCCAAAGTAGTGAAAACTGTTATATCTGTCTACATATTTCCTTTGTATACATTTCTAGCATATTACTATTTAAGGTTACAAATAAAAAGAATATAGGAAACTTGATTCCTTGGACAACTAAGGGGTTCATTATTAATTACTATTTGTTATTTGAATAAGAGTTCGTATACAGAAAAAGATGATACTATAAACCCACGTAATAGAGTTGCGGCACCGGATGTTCGAAACATTTAAGTCAACTTTATTTAAACCTACACTTACCTTCAAGATAATCAAGAAAAAACAATTCAACGAACAGAATTTTTTTCGATAAATCATTTTCACAAACTGATTATCGAAATATTTTGTTTAACAAAGGCTTTAGTTGATATTCTACAAAATTTACCGATTGGTTAACACTAGACCGATAACTCAATCGTAACTTCTTTGACTGTAGCATTGTATGATGCAATCCTAGATTTCTGAAGAGACATCAAATCCTCCGGGGTTGTAGGCACACTTTGCTTACGAGCACCAAAAAGTCCGAAATCTAGATTAATCAAGACTGTCAGCTGATTGATTGCCTTTTCAATTCTCAATTCATAATCTGAAAGAAAATTACCTGTCAACAAGATCAACAGCTGATAAAGTTTTTAAACGAATGAATACTCAAGATGTAATGAAAATGAAAACGTTAGAACAACAATAAAACACAGACAGCATAATTAACAAGGCACAACTATAAACCACGACAGTAGACTAGTTATAACTCAGTAGAACGCCGATTAGTTCCAATGAATAATAATACATAGATTATCACACAAGCTGACATTTAAGTATACATTAAACCTACCAGACCGTTAAGTATAATTTCACTGTTAAAAAAGAAAATATCACAAACTTTTCAGTGTAGATTTTATTTCGTATGTACTAGATAATCCCCCCCCCCCCAACAACAACCAGTCACAGTTACATGAAGCTGGTAAAAGAATATGAAAACGAATAAAAGTGAACTCTAGCGGAAATCGCAGCACCATCATAAGTAGGACTACATCAAATGAAATGCATGTATCTTTTTTCCTTTTACAAAAAATAATAATAATAAATACAACTGGAAGAGTAAAAATGGGGGTAAATAATTTACATTGTACATAATCGTTTTAGTCAAACTGTACAGTTAATTTTGCAGCTGCATATCATCTTCTTGATGATGATAATCGTGGATCACGAGAAGTTTGATTAGCTGGATATTGTAGGGGAGAGTGTAAATCTACAGGGGGATATTGTCCCATGGATGAGAAATATGATGTTTTAGTTACAGAGTCAGGAAAACAAGATAAAAGGGGAGGGTTAGAAGAATAATTTTGTGCATCAAGTTTAGGAGGTGAACTACTATTTTTTATATCATCTGATAATGGATAATTTCGGGAATAAAGTGATGGATAAGCACTGGAATTATGATGATGCTCGGATACCCGAGGGGAAGAATATATTTGTGTAGAAAAACCGCTTTCTTTATGATGCTTTGAATTTGACTGACCTGGTGGACGATTAAAGGCGTTATTGAAGCGTGAACTATTCCTGAAAACAAGTGGAAATAAATTAGTGTTGAGACGAACTCCCAAAAGTTTTGACAAAAAAAACAGTCACGAGAACACAGAAGCAACATACCTATCACGATTAAAATCTTTATGTGAACTTGTAGAAGTCCAGTCACTGTTGTATTTGCGTTGACTGAAGCCTTGATCATGACGATCATTACGATCTCGTGGTGGTCTATTGGAATGGTACCTCCGAGAGGAATCATAAGAATCATTGTGATAATCACGACTTGATGAATGACGAAATGATGCATTCTCAGGATAATCTATAGTATGAAAAGAATTTGTAAAATGCTTCGGGGAACTTGAATTCAGATCATTTATCTTCTTATCTTTTGCTCCTTTCAAACGACGTCGTACAGCATGTCTGTATATGTGTCGGAGTTGTTCTGTAGAATGTTTTGAGAAGATATGGACGAACTCCCACAGATAACTGAAATATAAAGAGTAGACGAATTTATGCTTGTTACACGATGATGAATAAAACTAGAAACGAAAAGTATGAACAAGGAAACATGATAAAATTTTGTTATTATCATAACAAAACAGGATTTACATCACCGAATATGGTAGAATATTACAAAAGTTTCTCTTTTACGAATATCAATGTATGTTTCATCAAGAAAACATAGGACTAATCGACCTGCAGCTACCATTGGATTTTTTCGCATGATGAGGTAGTCCTATCCGTGTGATGCTGAATTTCTAATTGATGCGAGAAACTGAAACCCTTTGAACTTATTCACTATCACTTCTAAAGTGCATCAAATTGACAAGACAATTAGCGATTAACGATATATACTACTGAATAGTTTGAGTATTTAGAAATTACTCAGGTTGATCTGTAGATTTCGTCAGCCAGATCAAAGTTGTCTAATCAACGGGCAGCCGCTTTGCTCGTTTGGGGACGAGCTCCGACAAATTCAACTCTCAGAGCCAAATAGATCAGATCACTTGATCCTGGCTAGCTGATTCGCGTGGAACGGTATACCTAAGATAGCATGATCGGTTTGCAAATTGCACGGTTAACGTTGAGATTTATCACAGTTGAGCAGTTTGTCAACGGGAACCCTGCTGCCACCACAGTTGGGTAGTTGAGAGATTTACCAGTTGATTTAATTTAGGTTGGAATTCATCATGGACTGACATCAGTCGGGCGAACACTGGAAACCTGGGAGCAATGGATAGCTGTTTTGTCCTAGCGTAGGACTTCTCAGCAGTGTTCACCCATAACCCCGCACTCCAGTGATCGAATTCAGGACCTACAGGTCCCGTGGCCAGCACGTTACCATTGTGCCAATGGGTCGGAATCCAATGGTCTATATTTCCTACTTCTGTCAGTTCACAACATACCGTGACCTTCATGCAATGTTGTTGTCTAGTAACTATCCTCATGTTCGACTTGGTTGGCTCCACTGGTCACGATTTCTCATTGTATCCTTCATTGCAGAAGTTTTCCTATAGACCGTTTATGTATCTGACCTAGTACTTGATTCTTTTCGATTAATGAAGTTGATCTACGTCTGTATACCCATCGATCGCTGTTTGACCTGAATGCTAAGCTTGTAGGAACTCTCTGATAATCTTTGTGCTACCTTTGTACAAGATCTCTACATTTACAAAACTGAATTCATGCCTACAGTTGTTCACATACACTGATGTCAAAAGTATAGCAGACGAAATGTCGTGTATTTTAATTATCAACTGATATTCACGTAGAGGGCGATCACTTTGTCTAATGTAGTGTTGATAGTAGTTATTGATATTCAGCTTATTTTTTGACTACATTGCAATAATATAGTGGTATAGGTGTAAAAGTCTGGTAGAATTCAATTCCATATTCAATATCTAATCTATCAAGTTCCATGTAATGACTGTGAGTCAGGTCAAGTACAAACTAGCCCGTCGGTGTCAGTTAGAATAATGGAACCTAGGAATTTACCTAAATTTAGTGTGACAGACCTGAATAAGATCAATAATCTAGGGAAAAAACTCGGTTATTGCAATGCATGCGTGCACCAACACACAACCATTAAATAGGATGGTATAAAACCACTGTACTCAAGTCCAATATAATTACGTAGAGAGAGAGAGAGATTGTCTTAGTTGTATTCTCTGACCTGGGTTGTTCAGTCGTGGAGCTTTCATCGTCTTGCTAGACAACATCTTCAGCATTAGCTTCAGTATGGAGTGAGATTTCAATATCCCTCCTTGAGTGATTTAGTAACTTTCCTTGATCAACTCGTTTGTGATTAGTTGTTTCCTTCAATTGGTTGGTGGATCGGTCTACGTCTATACAGCTGTTGATTGCTGACTGACTGACCTGAATGCCAAGCTTCTAGGAATTCTCTGATATTTTTTGTGTCCATAATTATCCACATGCATTGAAATGAGTGATGAAATGTCATGACGTCAGGGCAGGCTACTGAATCACTGATTGACAGCTCACTTCATACTGAAGTTAATAATGATGATGTTGTCGAGCAAAACGATGAAAGCTCCACGACTAAACAACACAACTCAGAGAACACAATACTACCAAGACCATCCACCTGAGATACAAATATTCTCCACCATTTCAGAGAGAGATTGACTACTGAGTCGTTGTTCCTCGAATCAACACACAACCAACACATGTAATAGAAATGACGCAACACCTATACCACAGATATGGAAAATTTTACTCCCAACAGAAACAAACAATAAGAGGTGACAGGACTATAAAAATCAAATGTCGAAAGTAGTGTGATTACATTGATATGATTATGAGGAATGATAATTTATGCTCGAAACGTGGTCATCAAGTAAACAGTACTGTATTACTGTGTGTTATAAATCAAATAAACAAATCTAATATCGAAGAATACATAGTAGTTTTGCCGACAGAATTGTTAGATCAAAAGAGATCGTAGGGATAAAGCTTATTCGCTTAGATACTGATCTAATATTGATTTGCTAACGATGAGCTGAAAATCACTTTTACCCACTAAATTTTCAGCATATGGATAAGCTATCACAGACCACAGAGAATATGACTCAATGAAAAGTTGTAGAACTTAGACAAAGTATTTTACTCGGATTAAACTAGTATGAATCACCCTAATAAACTTCAAAGGATTGAGAAACTTGGGTTACTCTAATGGCTACCCTAGCAACCACTGAAATGACAAATTAGATTTCTTTACTTGATATGAGAACTTATCTGTATAAAATTCCAGTTGGTTATTCGATTGGTTGTTAGGGTGATATTTATAATCATCTGAAAAAAGGTTAATGTCACATCAACAATAACTGAAATAATTACGGAGACGTGAAATGATAGGATGAATGTATTCAGACAATTGGCATTTCTAGCAACTGTCAACTTTAGTCTTTGCTTAGGTTTCTAGAGGTTGCAATTACGTAAGAGATAAATGTATAATGTAACTGAAGTGACTGTCATCAACGCATCATTATCAAGAAGTTGAAAGATTAAAGTGGGATACCATCAGATAAATCACATCGGATTCACGACAGCAACAACAGACTTCGGAGATTAGTCAACAAATCAATGTACAATGAAACTGAATACAATATAAATAATAAACAGTAAGGTTATTTATTACATACTTTTTCCAGGCATGACGTTTTTCTTTATCTGAATATACATCTACAATAGAATGGATATGATCACCGATTTGTAGGACAACATTAGCCAGTTTTGCAGGATTTTCTTCATCAGTTCTCTCTAGGTCTTCAAGTTCTTTAAAGTGTTTCTTAATTGGTACAAACTTCTTTTTACACTGAAAAACACAAAGAATTGATGACAATCCAGTTTAAGTAAGTATGGATTATGTGGTGACTAAAATGGTTTAATGGATGACCAGAGTTTATAGGTAAAAAACAAACACCTTGAAACTGTGAAAGCACATATGATAGATACAGTACTGCCAAATTTTGGTAACTAAAAACCGATTTCTACGTTAATCAGTGATATAAAGCCAAGTAGAGTTACAGTTGATTGACTGGATGTATTCCATGAAACTCATTTGTTAGACAATTAAAAAAATCACTTGATTATTCAGCAGCATTTCAAGTCTAACAAGAGCATTGAATGAGAAAACTGACTTATTGACAGTTAGAAGACAGAGTTTGAAGCAAATACGTATTTTTGGTGAATTCCCGTCAGGCTTCATAATGACATTCACATAGTTACATAAGTAGAACCACTCGACAAGCCCAACATTGAACACTGTCCAGTGGGGTTAGGCAAAGGAACAGTGAAATCCATCAAAAGCTCAATACTTGCCCATCTAATAGATACTGAGCCTAGGATTTACAAAACCTCAGCATTTATCATTATTTACAAAGTCCCATCACTAAGTTTGTGCGTCTCTTATCGCTAAGCATAGCAGAAACCATAGCAACTAAGATGTTTTTTCGTTCTCTTTCCCTTCCACGGCCTTCAACTTCAACCCAGATACAATTTACAATAAATTCCATCTCGGTCACCCGGATAAATGTAAATATTATCTCTATTTGTACTCATTTTATTATCTAATTGCAATGTGACAATAATTTTATTTCCCTTTATCCCCGCACATACACAATTCACTCAAAGACTGACTACTTAGAATATATAACCCCCCCCTTTACTGATCTTATCTTTTAATTCATACACCCGAAATAATTTAATCATGTTGATATCAAACGAGGACTATGCTGAATAATTTGTAAATGTAAGTGCAACATCTGTCGAGGATCTACCCGAAATACATATTCGCTTCAAACTCTATCTTCTAATTATCACAATGAGAATATTTAAATCATTAATTGTCATGAGTGTGATGGACATCGACTGACAACTAATAAAAATACTGACCAGATCTGTACGTATTCGTACACTGAAAATAACCTGAAACTAAGATGCTGTAAACAATTTAGTAAAAAAAAATAAACTACTAGACTTATTCTATAGTTTAAATGAGTCCTAATCACTAAAAGTTTGAGTTGATAAAATGCGAACGGATACATACAAATGAAATAGATTACAACATATCATAGCACTATTAATCTCGGTGGTTAAGATCACTATAGTTAACCAATGGAGAGAACCAGCAATATTATGGATTGATGCCGTCTTCCGATCACTTCATTCAATACAAAAGCATAATAATAATATTCGCTTTATTCCAAACAATATGTATGACAGTATGGAATTCTCAGCATGCAATTTTTTAACGAATTTACTCCGAGAATAATACTTCCAGACGAAATGGTTATTACATCGGAATGATGTTAATCATAACAAACGGTATTCAAGGCAATAATAGTCAGCTGATTCCGGATAATATGTATCTGGTCCATAATGAAGAATCAACAGAAATGCAAACATAATTTTGGTGGTGGTTCATTCAGACGGTACAAAAATCTGAAACTCGGAAGAAGTATCTGATGTATAATTGTTTTTATATGGTACCGTCGTTGCTTGGACCGGATTGATCGGTCTCTATTGGCATATGGGCTCCTGTGTGGATGCCTCGATATTGCCTGCGTTCTAATTATATTAATGATGGATCATGGCTACCAGTGGAATCCAGGATGCGCATTTCGTCATATTTGGGACTCGTCAGCTGGATGTACCTGCTTCTCAGTGAGTGATGGACAGAAATATGATATACTTTTCTACACCGAAAAGTTCATTTCCATATACAATACATATACTTAATTTTTAATGTTCAATTAATACAATCCTTTTGGTATTTCACTGGGTTGAAAATACGTTCGTATATCTCAAGAACTGAAAATCAGTAACTTTGGACTTATGGGTAAGTGACGAATCGTAAACGTTTTTTTAAACAGATAACTATTATTCGAAAACTAATCAACTTCACAACTTTTTCCATATATACATAAAAAGTTGGGTTGACAAAATAAAGTATAAAATCTGATTTGATATCAAGATGCAAACATAGAGTGAACTTACTTTTACAAAAATAGGGCCCTGCATATTACGAAATTCTTCTTCTTCTTCTTTCGTAAACAATGTTTGCATATCAGTAGAATTTATTTGAGGAAGAGGTTTTGACTCCATATTTGGTACATCTTTCTTTTCAGGTTTGACTTTAAGGTTTTGTGTGGATTTAGATTTTAAATCATTCTTTCGAACATGTTTAGTATTCGGTAACACTTTTGATGTCTCCTCGTCATTTGATTCAGATGATGAATCATCTGTTTCCACGAACTCTGCAGATTTAGGCGTTTGATTAGGTATCGGAACAGCAGGTTTAGAACTACTTTTCGTACTAGATTTTTGTGCCTTGGTTTTTTGGTCAGGTTTACTTGACTTCTTCTCTTCTTTCTTTCTTTTTCTAGGAGCATGTTCTGAATTCCCACTGGTAGTTTGACACTTAGCTAACATCTTTAAAAGATAATCTACACGTGATCGTAAGTGGCTAGCTTGTGGGCGCTCTGTCTGTGAAACTGGGAGTAATTTTGAACCCAAACCCAAATCAGAGTCCAATTTGATTGCTTCCCAGTTATCATATCCATGTTCATATACGCCTGCTAAGAGTCTAACGTCGTCAGAACTATCCCAGGGGCATGACCAAGCAACTAATTTAGGTAAAAACGGTAGTTCATAGGACATACGTGCTTCCTTACTGGTAGCTGGAAGACACTGATGAAGGGTTTCTAGGTATTCCAAACTCTGGAGCAAAGGTCTAGCTGCTACGCTAACGCGACCATATTGAAAAACAGGGCCTTTACCACCACCAGTTTGCTTTTGAGACTCTTCAGTTGAATTAGTTGACGCTGCTTCCATAGCTGCTCGGCAGCCTTTTAAGACAGCATCCACCACTTCACGGAGCTCGGACTCAGAATGATCTGGAAGCTCAGCGTCAGCAGCGATTGCATCAATACGTTCGAGCGGACGAGCAAAATGTCTGATAGCACGAACTAGAGCACGGATCTCCTTCTCTGTGAGTTGGGTTGAGGACACTTTATCGTTTTCTTCTGTCTCCGAGGCCTCAGAAGAAGACTGGTTGCAGTCTAAACCTGCCTGAAAAGCCTTCACAGGACGTCTACGTCGCGGACCCAGCTCAAGCTCAACTAGAGTTTTTCTGGCTTCTTCTGCTTTAATTTGCCCACGGAATTCACTAGGAATTATCTGATCCCACGTTTTTTCACAGCCAGCATTCATTGACGAATTTAACGAACCATTTCCATTTTTGGAATCGACATCTTCCTCCAATGCATCTAAATTCACAACTTTAAATGAAGAAAGTAGAGCGTTAGCTGGATTAGATTCAACTGTAGCTTCTGTATCTCGCGTTTCAGCCCGATTGAGAATATCATCAATGTCAACTTCCAATTCTGCAGCATCTTCTTCTACTTGTTTGAATAATCCTTCTGCACCATAACGGAGTATTTCAGTAAGCAACTGACCTTTCGCCACGTCCCCACGACGTCCTCCGCGAAAACCTGCAGAGTCCATGCGCTGGATGACTAAATGATCTAATACCATCTTACGTGTAGCACTTTCAATTATTTTTTCTTCCACAGACTCTCGAGTAACAAAACGATATACTGAGACTTGTTTAGTTTGACCTATACGATGAGCACGTGCTTGAGCTTGTAAATCATTTTGTGGATTCCAATCAGAGTCAAATATTATGACTGTATCAGCTGTGGCTAAGTTGATACCGAGACCACCTGCACGTGTTGACAACAGGAAACAAAAGTCTGTTGAACCTTCAGAATTAAAGTGGTCCAAAGCTTGCTTACGCAGTTCACCTCTGATTGAGCCATCAAGACGTTGAAATCCCCAACCACGTAAAATTAGGTAGTCGGCTATGAGATCGAGCATACGAACCATTTGACTGAAAATGAGAACTCTATGACCTTTGGATTTAAGACGTTGCAATAATTTATCTAACAAGGTACCTTTACCACTACCTCTCATAAATGATCTCAATCTATCTTCCTTTGTTAAAAATTGTTGGTCTGCTTCTGAAGGTGGTGCAATTAAGTGAGCATGATTACAACATTTCTTTAACTCCATGACAATATTAATGAAAGAAGTCTTATGTCCACGAGTCACTTTCAATAAACCATCATAATTGCGTGCAAGAATAAGTCGATATATGTTTGCTTGCTCCTTTGTCATATCAACTCGTAGAATTTGTTCAATTTTTTCAGGTAAAGAACTTTCAACATCTTTTTTTACACGTCTAAGTAGAAAAGGTTTTAAAGTTTTGTGAAGATTGTGAAAGGCTTCACTGTTCATTTTATTGGCAGGATCTTCAGCAGAAACACTGTATGTCTGTTCAAATTCTTCCCAATCTGGAAAAATGTCAGGCATAATAAAATGTAACAATGCCCATAACTCTTTCATAGTATTTTGCAAAGGTGTTCCTGTAACCAAAAGACGAGTATTTGTATCAAATGTTCTCAAAGTTTTGTATAACTGACTTGAATCATTTTTTAAACGGTGAGCTTCATCAACTCCAAGAAAAGCCCAATTTACTTGACTCAACCAACCTTTATCCTTTAATAAAATTTCATAAGTTGTTACACAGACATTAAACTTTAATGATTGATGACGTCTATTGTTAGCTAAATTTGAAGTTGTCCATTCATGCTCTCTAATGAGTTGTCGTGATACATGATCACCCGTATATATTATGGTATTCATTTCTGGTGTCCAAGTTTGTAATTCTTTTTGCCAACTCGAAATGGTACTCAAAGGTACAACGATTAGAAAAGGTCCATATACTTTATGCTCATTGAATAAATAAGAAAGAAATCCAATAGTTTGAATGGTTTTTCCTAATCCCATTTCATCTGCTAAAATAACACTGTTTCTACGAGTCCAAGCACGAATTATCCAGTTTATACCTTCAAGCTGATAGTCACGCAGGCGGAGATCACTTTCATTACCAAGATACTCAGGTTGTTCTATTAATGGCACAAATTTAGGTCGTGTATATAACACTTCACATTTTCGGTTAGGCAGTTTAGTACAGTTACAACGAGCTTCATAAGCTTGAACTGCTGATTCGTAGAGTGAACGTATAACCTTTCCAGACTCCCAAGAGCAAAACCGATAGTCTAAACGGAACCATTTGATAAGATAATCAAAAGTATTGCTATCTGGATCCCGACTATGAGCTACAATGCGTTCTACATTCATTTTATCCTGCAAGAGCTGTTCTTCACGTTCTTCCTCATAAGCAACGGTCTCCAAGTCTTCTCTCTCAGCATACCGTAAACGTTCACTTTTTTCTCGCATAGATGCCTGATATGCAAAGAATTTTTTCATACCAGCTACAGGTGTGCCTCGCTCCGGGTTACGTAGTGAGGATTCTGTCTCCCATGTTGAATGGATATGACTCCAATTGCGCCATTTAATAAGAAACTGTATCTCACCTTCTTCTTTCTTCGAATCAAAGCCAGCATTTAAATCTTTCTCAAGGCGTGTATTATACATGGTAGTTGGGTTGCCAGTTGCACCTTTACGACGAATAGTATGAGTAAGTACTTCTTCGATTATATCAGCCTCTTCATCATCACCCCATTCTGATTCACGATTAGCTTCACCGCCTTCATCATCCTCTGAGTATTGTTCATTTAAGCCAATTTGATCCGGACTATCACATTCAGACTTTGTTATCGTCTTGGAATTTCTAAAAATTTCGATAGAATATGAAGAAAATAATACTATTATTGTTCTCAAAGTTAAAGAGAAAAATGAGAAAGTGACAGTATGAATACCTATACACAAGCAAAAACATGAACGTAATCAGCTTAACATCAATAATAAGATAGATAAGCAGGAATGAAATCAAACTGAAATTATTATAATCGACACCATTATTAGTAAATAAAATCTTTCTCCTTTACATAGTAGTATTCGATTGTGTAATTGTTTAGAATCTTAAAAACAATGCTTTCTTAAAATGATGAAATGAAGTATGAAAAGAAGTGAAGGGAAAATAAAAGATAACTTAAATAAGAACTAATATGTGTACACAAGTATAACATGAAGGTGTTTAAAACAATATAAATGATGTATACTCTATATAATATAGAAAAGAAATATTGCTAACCTGTTGGCCAAGATAGACGCATAAGGCTTTCGAACCAAAGGACCTCTTGGCTTTTGAAAACACGTTTGTTGACTAGAAAAAATGTCAACCAGAAAAAAGAAAACAAACAATAGACAATAATAAATGGAGAAAATACATTAGATGTACTCAGTTTACATGTATAAAAAAAAGGTGTACATAATGTATAGATAGAAAAAATAAGGTTTTTATTTACCTTGGCGGTGGTACATTTCCATATGAAGTTCGTTGGTTAACTTGTTTAGATATAGTTGAATTTGAACGTTCTGATGGATCATCATCAGATTCATCAGGACTATCGTCAACGAAAGCACTCTTATAATTGACACGATTTCCTCTTGTTCTTACAGTTCGATGTTTTGTCTTTAAAAAAAGGGGGATAAAATATTCTGAGATGAACATTTAAGGCAAGTAAAAGCATAAAGATACTTAACTATCCAAATTAATCAAAGATGTCATATTTGCTATACAGACAACACAGATAGTGGTAATAGAAGTTGAAGAGTATCATGATAGAATGTAACCCCAGATTTTATTTATTTATTTGACATAACGTAGTGATAAGACAATATTTCTTGGATAACGTTTCGAACACGATTTGTTGCTCATTAAGGTGGTAAAATACATTCCAACACTTGGTTTCATAATAACCAACAATAATAATAATAATAGTAATAATACTTGTTACTTGTCTTCACCTGGTCGTCATGGTAACTGTATTCTCCAAATGACCAGAATGGGTGATTATCAGTCCTACTTTATGTATTGGATGCAACAGAAATAACGGGAACACCAATCTGGAATGCATGGAGGAATCTTACTACTATTGAAACCAAAGAATGACAATTGACAAAAATACAATATCCAATACAGTATCAAGACGCATTGGGCAATTCTTTCAATGAATACTTAAAGACTATATACTATTGAGTGCACCAATATTAGTAGGGTTAAAAGTGTTACCAATCAAACAAGATAATGTAGAAAGAAGACAGAAGTTTGAGCTATGAAATGTAACAATGAAAAATAAGGAGCATTACATTCGAAAATATGAAGAATTAAAGCCAATGCTGCTGTTCTAACGATCAAGATTTTTAGTGCAAGTGAGATCAAACTGATAGAAAATACTTGAATTCAGTTAGAGAAATAGCTAGGAGTTAGCATAATAGAGCGGCAGATATCTGATTACATATGTTAGCAAAGCACTATTCATGTATGAAACCATCAAATAAAGTGTTTAACTAATGAGTAATTTTTAAGATGAGGATAAACTAGTCTGTATTCTTTTCTAGATGGAATTAACTGGGGTAGCTGATGTGTTAACTGTTTTAACTCAGAAATGATTACAGATCATATTGGCTAAGTTAGTAAACGTATGATCATATGAACCAATGCTATTTACCGGCAAAATCGTTAACTTTTCTGATACTCGAGTAAAACACTGTAGGCTGCCTGATTTGAATCGACGATAAAATAGAAAGTTTCCAAAACAAACAGATATAGTAAGTTACAAAATGATGTTAGTAACGAAAACCCATGTAACTAAGTACTCGCTTCATTCTCAATGCTAATAATGCAGGGAGTAGTCGTGAGAACTGATGAAAGGTGTTTATTTAACAACATTTGAAGCTTACTTGAATACTATTATTCCAGTCATCTGTTTCACTATCGGTTACATTATTGCTATCTGAATTGCTGAATGAACGATTTCGTTTCCTCTCTCTAAAGCGTGTATCAGATACTTCTTTTTCTGGTGCTTTGAAACGTGACGGTTCCTTGCGACTGCGTGCAGACCTGCGTATACCATAAAGTTCAGGATAATCTTCGAATTCTTCGCGAAGCTGGATCAAAAAACAAATCAATTGATGTTAAGAAGTTAGAATTAAGCATATGGATTTATATGAAAGGTGAACAGTAAGTACTAATGTAGCCAACTTGAATCTATAGAAACACACCTCTCTAATACTTTGTTTTCTAGATCTGATTGGAGGTGGTGGTGAGTTAGAAGCACCGGTATCTTCCTGATGTGAAGATTCAGACTGATCCGTTTGAGAGATGGATCCATCACTCCTGTAAAAGTAAGAACAAAAAATAACCATCATAATCAGTTAATGAACTCAATACCTCGAACAGATTAAATGAAAACACATACAACGACAATTGTCACTAAGATATGATAACAACGGATCGAACAGCCTTAACTTTATTGGGATGTTATCAGCAATAAGTAAGGTCTCGTCTACTCTCTCTTATACATACAGTAGTTGAACCAATTATTTGATGATTGCTAAAAGTAACACCTAATCGATGCTGAAAGTATTGTATGTGATGTAAGACCGAGTGAGTTACAATCCTAGTAATCTCAAATTTAGTTTAGTTAGAAAATTCAGCGGCCCAGCATGTTATAAATGAAAATTACCCTACAAAAATAGCAACTAGTAAGATAACCCACACATAACTCCTGAGATAAGCAAATACGCTTCAATAACGCGTATTTTCTACCACTCATTTATAGAGATGCTTATATAAGACAGAGTTCAGAAGTGTTCCCTTATGCAACTACAATGTTGCAAATTGTATGGATAACTTAAAGTAGATAGCAGGTGACCCTACTTGATTCTTTATCACTGAAGTTAATGCAAAGCCAGATGCTTTACACATTGACATACGAAGTCATGCAATTCATCCAACCCAGTTCAAAGTGATCCAATTCATCCAATGCGGCATTCTCGCTGTTTCATAAATAATCAAGACGGTAAAAAGAAACCAGCTCAATCACTGGACTCTGTTTAGTAGAGTTCTCCAGTCATACAGTTTACCTTCATCCAACTGGAAAAGCTAAGTAGACCATTTATGGACAAAATTCAAAGAATAATACCTGGGTTTTCCATCAAGACTGTATTCATAATCGTAGATACAGCATAAAAAATATCTGATGATTGTTGTGTTGAGAAAATTTCGGGGAAAATAAAGTACTAGAACATTATTCTAGGATCTCATATCTCAGAAAACGAAATGTGGTACAACTCAGAAATTACTGACAGAGTTCGGGTAATACTTATTGTGAAGACTAGTGATGCTATATGACTACAGGATACCCGAATTCGGAATAGGATTCCAGATTTTGACCTGCTGTCTGAAAGACATACCTGGTTCAGTGTGCCACCAAAAGTGAAGTGCTCTCATAAATTTCATTTACGAAATACTTAGGTGTAAACCCCCAAAATTAACCTATTCGTAGTCATAAAATGGTGCATTCCCACTCAAAGATCTAGTCACTTCCTGGTTAGTCTATTGTACATACTTGTGAAAACAGCTTCAAATATTCAACATATCTGATAACCAGAGGAAACAAAGTGACTCAACTAGAGCAGTACTGGTACTGTGTTTTACTAAGGATAGCGCATGATTACCAGGAGAGATGTTTAGGTGAACGAAGTTAATGAATCTCATAATCAGACCATCTGCATTTCACAACTAGATTACCAGAAGTGATCTTTTTAATTTATGGCTTTCTATTGTAGGTGGGAATAAGTGTTCCAAGATAAGGATAAGACTTTATTCAAACGACTTGCACACTTATCCAAGGTTAAAGAGCTAGGTTAAGCAACCGGGTTGGTGACCGCAAGATTCGAGAGGACAAGAACTGAAATTTGAATGCGCGCGCAGATGACCGGCGGTTTATTTACATAGTGACATACTTGAGTCGCTGGTCGCTTCACTAAGATGAAAGATGTGTGCTCATCGAACTCACAGTTAATCAGAAACTTTATACCATAGCGTCAACCGACCATACATTTAGCAACTGAAAAGTGGAATGTGATTTTTAGCAACATATCAGCACTTTCGTTTTGAAAGCAATGTGGGATTTAAAATCTCACAAGAGGCTTAGTCGTTAGAGTGGAGTTTAAACAGTGTGACAGTACAACCCCACACTAAATAGGTTTATACCACATAACGCGGCGAAACAGCATTATTTACTATATTCTGTTGTTTAGTGTCGACTCCACGAACAAAGACTCGGTAAATAATTCTTGTCTTAACCCAACTAAGTTGGGTGTTAGGATTGTTACCAGCTCGCTATTTTGACACTACATGCATTATAACAACTTGGTTTTTTTTCTGGTAAATAGCACTGTTCTACATCTAGTAGACCCGTTATTGTTCTCGCACAACTTTCTCTACCCGAGCCTTCTTGTACACGGAAAACTGTATCTCAGTGACAGGCTACATATGTGAGGTGAACTTCTCATGCCGTCGTTCAATTCAGTTGTCAAACTTGATATGTGAGAGGCCGTGTACAGAATGACAGTGACACACTCTAAGTCAACAACTGCACCACCCTCAGAATGTAATTCGAGACTACCGCAGTTTTGTTTGATTTGCTATCTTTGGACAGTAGATAAACATTTACGCAACACATGCGCTGCACGCTTCGACGAGTTACGAATTATTAACTATTCGCTGGTATTTCTCTGGAAGCTTATAAAGTGAAAGCGATATACCGACTTCATATACATTTGTGAATGAGTTTGCTTATATTTGTTGTCAGTTACAATACATAACTTAGATGGAATGATGGAGAGACCGTAGTCCTCAGTCAAATGAATTTCAACGTTTAGTACTAGAAGGATGCTATAGACACACTACAACTGTACACCTGTATCTGACTGCACCTCACAAATACTAAATCTAAGTTAGAAACAGAATGATCACACCAGTGGGATTTGCTCGTTATAATCCAAAGGGTTTTTCGCGAAACACTTCCCACTTAAACATGAACCTAACATGGGCACTTCGATGAATTCCAGTACGCAATACCAAGAAGGCTGACTGTCTGATACGAAATGATATAGAGGATATACACTTGACACGATATACCATTCAGTTAGCAAGATAAACATCAAGAATTGTTTGGAGTCATAGGTGTTGAACCCCTTAGGGAGTTGTGTACGTTAGCTGATGCCTAGCCTTGCCCAGAAACAGTTGCTGACATTTTGTTGCAAAATATTAATGGAATATTAAACCAGTAACTGGACTTACCAGTTTAGTTGCTTAAGCTAAGAGGGTACAATACGCTTAACTCATGAACAAACCAGTTTTTGCTTTTCACCATCGGACAGCAACCAACATTTCATATACTTTGAGATATCCCTACACACCCATTGTTTCGTACCTATGCAACACTAAATCTAACAATTGATCACTTAAGATGTCTACTGAACATATGAGACAGTTTGGCCCTTCACTCCTAATGGTTGAAGCAAGTTATAAAAACTGGTAAATCCTAGCACACCACTTGTTCAGTGCAAACCCAGTTCTTGAGCAGTACCAACGGAACATTTTGCAACATTACACCAGTCATAAATACTCAATACCAGAATTAAAATCTACTGCGAGCAGGTCGAAGTGACAGCTCACAAAAACGAGGGCACAGATGCGTAGTACGAATACACATGTATGTGAACAGTGAGGACATGTTCAGATTTCTTTTGACTGGATTTCATTTCTCACTTCACTGGCTTTTTACTTGATGTAGCGATATCAGCTGCGGCAACTCAGACCGTTACGCAGCAATGCTTGGTCCTATGTTGATATGGATGGATCACTGAATGAAGATGCCCAGAGTAGAGAACAAAATTACAACTGTTTGCTTACTTAGTCATATGCCACTGTTAGCACTCAATTTGACGAAATACCTATTCAGAAGACGGAGGTCATTTTTCTTTAGCCTTTACAATTTCAAGTCCACTAAGACTGCCTCATATACATGGAAGGGTGTTTTAACTAGTGACTTATTGCTCAGGCCAAAATCTGCTTAGTAGCGCGAGACTCCTCATCACACCCATGTCTCTTTAGATTTCAAACCCAAAGAAATACCAAACTTTAACGGCTGAAATTGGCTTAACAGGGACGCAAGGTCGATTTGAGTATACACGCGCAACAGATAGGACTACCTCATGCTTTACTATATCTACAAAAAAGCCTGGGGACTCCACACCAGACCTCTGCGCGTAGGATATATTCAAGTTACGTAACTAGAAACAGAGACGGACTGGATGTGCTTCTGCCCTCACTCCACCTAAGTGCTACCTTATTGCAAATCATCCCTAATCTACTTCACACAAAGTAGCGGATCCTCGTTACAAACAGTACACGACGCATCTTATACAGTATAGCCAGTTGTCCATGAGATATACCTCATACATAAGTTACGCGAATGAGCAGGTAACCAGTCCTATGACGCCTTGTTGGAGTATTCTCATGGAGCGCGCAGATGTAAGGAGATATACATACAAGTAAACAGCGCGCTCCAGCCTTACCTAATGCACCGAAATCCGTATGGTAGTATTCCAAACGACCATAAAACATAGTTAGCTACGAATCAGTGGGATGTTGGGAAGACGAAGTGTTGTATGTTGCTATTCACAGAACTAAGCCGAAAGGACTCCCCTACCATTGCAACTGGAATGACTGTGCTCAAGAAGTGCCGACCCCAATGCATCTCAAAGTGTAGAGAACTTAACTTTAAGAATAACTCACAAAACAGGTGCTAGTAAGCTTTCGACTCGAGGGAGTAACACTTCGTTCGAATGCAAAACGCAACCTACCAGCTGTCAACCCTCAGATGGCCTTTTACCTCATCATGAAAGGCTGTCTACAGCGGTACATTCAGTCTAGCATTAATTCATTAGTACTAGTTCCCCTTGCATAATAGTGGTTCACACTTCTGGAATTGGTATCTAGACTATACACCCGACCAATATCACCTGACCAAGCTCCCAGCACTCTATTTTTTAAAGTAGGTACAGATAATGTCACGGGGGTTAATGAAAACCTAAACGTATGGAGTCGCTGAGCTGCCCTTCCGATGCCACTACCCCATCCCACTAGCAGTCAGAAGACCGCGGCGCACAGAATGCAATGCAATGAAACATATGAACCCACCAATCGAAGTTTGGTGGATAGCGTGAAACATGGTAGTAGAGGTAAACCGCACTGGAACTAATTCTGTGGCTAAAGAGAACGAACCGCGGCGGGATAAGTTCGCATACCTCATCACACAAATA